CACACACCATTCAGCAAAGACACCATTTCAAAGAACTGATGTCTGTGGGCTGCTATATTTCAAAAAGCAGAGAACACACACACACACACACACACTTACATCATTCAGCAAAGACACCGTTTCAAAGAACTGATGTTTGTGGGCTGCTATGTTTCAAAAAGCAGAGAAGTTCACAGGAGGAAACTAATACCTTGGATTTAAAACAAAAAGTTGTAACCTCAAGAGTATGGGCATTCAGTCCACAGATCAGGCCCTTCCTCACTCAAAACATGGGCACATGTCTGCATCTGGTCCACATCTGGCCATCCATCCCAGGTAATGGTCGGCTTGCAGCGTAGGCCAATCCACAGTTACATCATCTTTACTTGTCCAGTCTAACTGGTTCATACTCAGGAAAGTCTCATTCAGCCAAGAATGAAGCTAATCTCTTGAAGTTAAGAGACAAAGGAATATTAATATGTCCCCTCACACACACCTTGTTTTTTTTTGGGGGGGGCAGGGTGATCTGTGGTCTGCCTTTCCTCATTTTGGGGTGTACGATTTAATTCCTTTAAACTGAAGCTCCCCCCACCCCAACTTTTGGAATTACTATTTGAATCCATGGTGGACCAGAACTGAAAAGTAACTTCACCCATGCTGATGTTGTGTCCTCAGTTTGGGAAGACATGAAAATACAATTTAAAGACCATTCACATCCAGCAAGATTATGTGCATGTAGTTTGGGGTTTGGGGCAAATCCTTTGAGATGCTTGAGTGGAAACATGTCACCACCTTGTCTGTGTTTAATATTTTACAGACTGCAAAACAAGCCTAAGCTTGTAAAACTGTATAAGTTTAAAATATCCTGAAGAAACGCATTGGCTTCCAAATACCAGTATCTCTATGATGAAAGAGTGTTTGAGGGAAAATAGAATTAATGGAAACGTAGATGTCACATCTACCCACATATCAGGCAAAAACTAAGAGAAAAATTAAAAAATGAAACGATCAAAATGTGTTACCCTCAGTTACTAGCTATCTGTGTGTGATAATTTTATGCATGTTATGCATTACTGCCTTGACTGGATTTTTAGTACTACTTACGTTTTCAATTTTTGTATTTCCCATTTCTCAGAGGGGCATTTTTTTAAAAGTATGCTTTATTCTTCCTAGCTTTAATGCCTTTTAATGCTGCAAGAGGCCTCTTTTTACTCCTTCTTCTCAGCTTCAAATACTGTATTCTGTTTTAACGATGTAAAACCACCCTTGTGTCCTCATTGTTTTCAACTTCAAACATTGTCTTCCAGCGCTGTCAGCCGCCTTGGGTCCTTTTCGAGGAGAAAGGCGGAGTAAAAATATTTTAAATGAACAAAAAAAAAACCCAAATAAATAAATAAATAAATAGCGACTGCCTCCTGCAAAACATCTTCCCATCTAACTTTTCTACATCATCCGAAGCAACATGCTAGGAGTGAATTGTAATCACATCAGTAAACGTAGCAAAAGTCCCAGTGGAGAAAACTGGACGTTTATAAGTTCTGAGAACCCCTTAAGGAACAATTCAACGATTCAGGGATTAGGGAAGAGATCACGACCCGCCTTGAACACGTGTATTGTTGATGCAGGCTGGAAGTCCGTGTTTGGTTTGCACTGACAGGATCGGGAGGGGCGGGTGACAAATCAAGGAGGAAGCCGCGGGAAAGAGGAAAGGGGGGTATTTGCAGAGGGAAAAAAGGGGGGGTCCCGTCTCGGAGAGAGCAAGCCCCCTCCTCTTTGGACCCGACCCTACTACGCTTCCTCCTCCTCCTCCTCCTCCTCGTGTCAGGGAAAAGCCGGTCCGGGCGCCAGAGC